AGAAGGAAAGGAAGAGAAAAAATCCAACATGGAGCCAGGACTCGCAATCAACCAGAGAAGCTGGGAGTAACTAGATCATAGCCTGCAGTGTGTTAGGAGCTGTAGTGAGGAGCAGAAAGGCACTGTGGGAATGGGAAGCCTGGCAGAGGCAGTAAAGCTGCCCTGGAATCTGAAGAGTTAGGAGTTAGGCAGACAAGAGAGGACACGGTATGTCCAAAGTACACAGATGAGCGCAGGGAAAGACGAGGGCAGACTGTGGCCTTGCAGGATTACAGTGTTACCAGATGAAAAAGTTGGGAAACCAGGCGGGGAAGGGGGGCATCCCAAAGAGTCATACTAAAGAGATGGGTTCTGTTCTTGAACCCAAAACACTTGTTCATTGTTCCCGGTTCCCAGTTCTGATGTCTCTGAATAGGCCTTAACACTCGCAGGGGTAGTGGGGGAGGGACCAGTCTTTTATTTGGAGACATAAAGAATTCGATCTATAACTGTGAAGCTATATGAGGTAAGGACAAAACATTAAGAGGTGAGGCCGGTACTTCATTATTTATTTTGTTGTTGTGAATGTTGACATCACAGTATAACACAGCCCCCAGGTTGTCATGTGATGCCACCAAGAAGGAGGTTGCTGTGGTGAACTGGGTGGAGAGGGCATTTGGAGTGCATACCGCATAGATGTGCCTAGGTGGAGTCTCGTGAAAGGAACGAAGAAAGAGAAGGCCTCTCATCCAGATTCATAAAGGCATGTTGATCTGGAGGGGATGAGAAATCAATATTGTTCTCTCACGGAAAGTTTGATTGTGGATCAAAGTGCAGAAGAATTGGCCAGTGTTCCTCATCACTAGGCAGCTCCTTGATGTGTCGGCTTTAGCTTGAATTTTGTGTTGCCTCCTGGGGCAAAGATTATAAAAGAAAATTTGAAAGCAGAAACAAGCTCTGTTGCCTGGGGTGTTGCAGCAGATCTGGCTCTGAGTTAGAGAGGGGCTGTCATACAGGAAATGGCCCAGCAGTGCAGAGCCAGGAGAAGGCCAGACCCTACTTGGGTTTCTCTAGGCTCTGCACTGTTGAGGGGGTGGGAATCTACCCATTCAAGCTCCTATAATTTCTCCTATCAATCTCCTACCTGAGAAAAACCTCTTTCATTAACATATCTGTTTGTATTTAGCTTACATTTTAAAATGTTGAGTGCCTTTAACGGGCTAGTGTCTCATCCGGTTTTCACACTCTCTTGGGGGAAGGCAGACACATAACAACATTTATGATGTGATAAATATGTTTGTGTATTAATGTTTTCAATAGAGAAGTGAGTTTGGAGATGTGTGTTCAGAAGTTCAGTGCCAACACCGATTGCCTATCTGTTCTGCTGCCAACGAATGGACAAAGCAAAGGCCCAACACAGAAAAGGGGTCAGGGGTGGGGGAGTCAACACTGAGAAATTATCCCCTCTAGAGGGATATGGTGTCACTGGGTTTAGTGACAAACTCTGGAGTGGATGTTTCAGTTGATTACCCACAAATCTTGCTGCACACACACCTGTTCCCTCACACAGAGAAGAAGGGCTAAGAAAACGTGGCGACAGCTCTCAAGCCACAGAGAGTCTCAAAGACCCAACAGAAATGAGTGTGATGGTAGATCGTGGTTAGCAACTCGATCGGTCAAGTGTACTTGTGAGTTTTTGCATCAGTGTTGGTGGAAATGAATGGCATGTAGGTACATCCTAAGTGTGGGTGGTACCATCTAAAAGGCTTGGGGGGGATTGAGAAAAAAGAGCAAGGCCTTCTGGGCATGCAGCTCTACTTCCTGAACAGATGTGTTTGCTGCAGCCATTCCCGTGGTCATCAGACCCCAGCTTCTTCATCCTTGACTATGAACTCATGTCAGCAACCCTCCAGCCTTGCTCCTGGCCTGCATCACTGGTCTCGCTTGATCTAAAGCTTCCAGGCTCTTGGGTAACCAATTTCAGAGGCTACTGGTTTCTCTGGTGGCCTAGGGACAGCCACGCGAGACTATCCAGTTCTAGACTGCATAAGCCAACCTATCAAGTTCCTCATAGAGTTCCACACGCGTTCTGTTGGCTCTGGTCCTTCCAAGCAGGATTTCTCAAGCCTTTTCCTCTCACGGCCTCTTTGTGTCTAAGAAACTTTCATGTGACCTCAGCTATTTACGTATATAAAATAGTATACGCATTGAACATTCCTGATACTAATTCATGAAGAAATTCATTTTAAAAGAGTTTCTTACACATAATTTCATCATTTATCAAAGACAAAAGCAAACTATATTAGTGAAATGGGTGTGCTTATTTGTCTTTACAAAAATAAGTCTTGGCTGAATATTTGAACCTTCAGGACAAAGAGTATCTTCAGTGCTTCTCAGGATCGATCAGTATTTTTTATTTTATTATTGTCAGTACTGAGAATGCCACTTCACATAAATACATGTAGTATAAAGGGGCAGGAGGGTGTTTAAAGCCAATATTAGGAAGGTTTTGGAAATCTTATGCTAACCCCAAGCCAAAATTCATGTAATAATTTCTTACAAAACTCAGGTCAACAACTCATACAGTCATTTTTCTTCATTTAATTTTTATACATAGTATTTAGGTCTATTTTATGTGTACAAGAGTTTTGCCTGCATGAATCTATGTATATACCATCTCCATGTCTGGTGTCGGGGAATTCAGAAGAGAGGTCCCCTGGAACTTAAATTAGGGGTGGCTGTGAGCCACCATGTGGGTGCTGGGAACCAACCCCAGGTCCCTGCAAGAACAAGTACTCTCAACTTCTGAACCATCTTTTCCTTCCTTGCCCCAACAACAATTCTCTCCCCAAGCAAACATTCTGCTAGGCATGGTGGCACACACTTTTAATCCCATCACTAGGAATGCAGAAACAGGCAGAGACCAGCCTCTTCTGTGTAGTAAGTTCTAGGACAGACAGATCTACATAGTGAGATCCTGTCTATAAACAAAACAAACACCTTTAAAAATATAAAGCATTCTAACACATTGTACTTCAAAGATAAACCAACTTGATATTTATCTGTTGAGGAATGACAAGCAGAAAAGTAGTAAGTCTGTGTTTTCTGTAATTAATCCATTGTGCTTGTATACTAGCCGAACACTGTACACGCAGTAGAGACACTGCAGCTCATAACACATGACAGTCTTGAGTCTGAGCACTCTCGGTTCAGAGAGTGTTTACTGGTATTGCATGACAGTGTGGTCAAGCAGCATGTGCAGGCTGCGTGTTCAGAGCCAAAGATGTAATGAGGTCACATACATGGCAGGGGAGAGGGCTGCCAGAAAATACCTCAGGTTCAATTATGCATTTTATTTTCAATTAAGTTTTGGTCCTTCTGCAGCTTACTGTTGTTGCGGGAGGGGAGGAGCTCCCACCCATCTGGCTATTGAACCTGCATGGGGTTGAGAGACACAGTGAAAACAGTTGTTGCTAGAGCTGGGGTTCTCAAACTGTGGGTCGTGACCCCCTTGGGAGCTGAATGACCTTATCACAGGAAACACATAGCAGATATTTGCATTATGATTCATAACCATAGCAAAATTATAGTTATGAAGTAGCAACAAAAATAATTTTATGGTTGGGGGTCACAACACGAGGAACTGTATTAAAGGGTCGGAGCATCAGGAAGGATGAGAACTACTGTTCTAGGGAGCCTTGTTAACCCAGAGAGCAAACAGACATAGGGAGAAGCATTTTCCTTCCCTAGTTTTCTTCTAGAAGTTGAGTGCTTCCCAAGTGGATAACAGAGATGGACGTGGGTTAGTATAATTAAATACAGTGCTAGCCACCTGTTCAGGCTTCCGGGTTAGCTTAGGAGGGGGAGAAGGGCGATCACAATAGACAGCTGATGACCCTACAGGAGTCTCAGTCAAACAATTTTATGAATGTCATATTCTGAATGCAATGACTGTGAGCTGAGATGCCTTTGCCCAATCCCTTCTTCTGTTTCTTGTCTTTTTTTTTTTTTCCTTTTGGTTCTTTGAGACAGGGTTTCTCTGCTGAACAGCCCTGGCCATCCTGGAACTCACTCTGTAGACCATGCTGGGCTGGTCTTGAACTCACAGAGATCCACTTGCCTCGACTCTAGAATGCTGGGATTAAAGGCATGAGCCACCACCTTCCTGCCTTCTAACCATTAGCTGGGACCAACTGCCTCTGATTTTTTTTTTTTACCTCTCAAGAATCATTGGTTTAGTCAGATGGTAGTGATGCATATCTTTAATCCCAGAGGCAGAGGCAGTTGGATCTCTGTGAGTTCGAGGCCAGCCTGGTCTACAAAGCTAGTTTCAGCACAGCCAGGGTTGCACAGAGAAAGCCTGTCTTGGAAAAACAAAAAATACAAAAACGAAAACAAAAACTCATTGTTTTAGTTTATGTGATAGCTAGTGTCTTGAAAACTATTGTCATACACACACACACACACACACACACACACGAGGGGGGGGAGAATGCTTCCTGTTACTCCATATTGATCAGCAACAGTACCAATATTCTACAGCTGGACACAGTGGTGCCTGCTGTAATTCCCACATTCCAGAGGCTGAAGCAGAGACATGAAGACCACAAGTTCAAGGATTGCCTGGTCTATAGAGAAAGACTGTTTCAAAAGTTCAAATAAAGCAAAATAAACATGATTATAAATACTTATGAATGCCTCATGAGAATGCAGAGAAAAACCATTCTTTGAGTCTGGCACCATCCTCCTTCAAGTCCTTTAAGTAAGTATGTATGTATGTATACACACACACACACATACACACACACACACACACACATATATTTACTATGTATACAATGTTCTGCTGGCATGTACACATGCAGACCAAAAGAGGACACCAGATCTCATTCCAGATGGTTGTGAGCCACCATGTGGTTGGTAGGAATAGAACTCAGAACCTCTGGAAGAGCAGTCGGTGCTCTTAACTGCTGAGCCATCTTTCCAGATCCCTTAAGTCCTTAGTTTTTAAATAAAAACTATAAAACTGGGAGTGGAATTCCCTGATGGGGTGTGTGCTTAGCAAGACCTGGGAGCCTCCCCAAAGAACAAAAGCGTTGAGGACTTCTCACAGCTAAGTGGTCCAACCTCCCAGCACCCAGACTCTACAGTCTTCGCAGAGGAAGCCTGAACTTCCTGCATGTAGATTCTCCTTTCTCGACCGACCATGACTGGCCTCTCTGATGCTCTGGGTAGATCTGTGCCTCTCTGTTTAGTCATCATCTCTGTGGCGTTGACTTCCCGCTCCCGGTTGTGCCTTCCTCTCTATTTATCCTGTTCACTTCACTGCTGTCGGACAGAGCCCAGCTTGTATGCAGTAATTCCCCAACAAGAGTGATAGGAATACTGGGTACATGAAAATGCATGTCACTTCTGAATTTCCTACAGTATTCTCTCCAATTAGTCAGGGCCAGCCATAGAGTTGATAAAACATCAAACTACCTTTCAAGAGCTTTGTCTTTTTTCTTTTTTTTCCTTTCTTTTTTGGTTTGTTTTTTTAGCACACAGCTGGGAACAGCCTTGAGGTCATGTTGGAGAAAGATTTTTCTAAGTTGCAAAAGTTTGTCTTCACTCTCATACCGGAGTCCAGTTGTGCGGAGTACAGGTAGCACACCGTATCCTTTCATGAAGAACTCACACGGGGAACTGTTCCCGGCAGCTCGGGAGGATAGAGGGAACAAAAGAATACTGAAGTAACCCAGGTAAGTCGGTAGGTGGCAACTACCTCCCCACCACCAACTATAGAAACAAAGGAACGCGTTCTTGCTCCTTGAACGTGGAGCTCAACAAAGGGCTCCTGCCGAGCTCCGAGGAGGCTTGCAGCGGCCAAAGCAGCTGGCACCTCAGCGAGCACCAGGAGGCTGGGTCTGGAGCGCTGAAGGGGACTGAGAGGCTGCCCCTAGCGCTGCGGAAAGCACCGCCTCCCGTCGGGAGGACTCTTCGTGTAGAACAACAAGCAGACAGGAAGCCCCGGCTTCCTCCTCCAGTCTCCAGCCTACCCCTGAGCTCCCCACTGCAAACTCTAATAGGAAGCCTGCTGACAAAAAAGAAACTAGTTTGCGGAGCCCCAGCCCGAGCCTGGCAGGACCTGAAGAGGAGAAGAGCTGGAATCTTTTTCGAGACAGTCACGCACTCACCAACACCCTAGGGGCTGGCTGACTTCGAGGGCAGGATTTTACTGCCAGCTAGAGTCGCCACCAGAAAGAGGGAAGAGCTGGTGTAAGGCCTGCTGCTGACTGCTGACGGAAGTGGAACACCCTGCACTACAATGGCGTCTTAGGTTGGATGCTGAGGGACCAGACCTCTGTCGCCTGCTAGACCTGGGGTAGTATGAAGGAGAGGGGGCACGTAGGCCAACTGTCCATTTTGGGTGATGGGAGGAGCTTGGCGGGCACATGCCACTGACCTGTGCGGGAGTGTGCTGAGGCTCCAGGGGACGGTTCAGTAGGCAAAGTACCCGCTGGACAAGCATGAGGACTTAGGGTTGGATCCTTAGCACCCACATAAAAGCTGGGTACCGCAGTGTGTATCTGTAATCTGGGTACTGTGGAGGCAGAGGCAGGAGGATCCCTGGAAGCAGCTAGTCAACCGCTCTAGCCTGATCTGCAATCTCCAGGATCAGTGACAGACCCTGACTCAAAAACCGAGGTGGAAAGTGGTTGTGTGATAGTTTAGTCACACTCTGACAATAAAGTTTGCTTTGAATCAGAGGGCGGAGCTAGATACTAGCTGACCAATATTAACCCTAGAGGTTTTGGAGGACTGAATGTAATGGTAAAAACAAAACGGCACCCGTTCCCCAGGGGGCTCACAGGCCATGAGAGGCAGCGGGTCCCAGGCGATGGGTGAGAGATAGAGATGGATAGGCACGCCATGCAGAAGGAGGTTGGATATTTACTTAGTGGGTTAGAGAGGGGAAAGGGGAGGGGAGAAGGGGGAAAAGCAGAGAGAGGCAAAAAGAGAGAGAGAGAAAGAAAAACTGAGAGAGAGGAGGGAAGGAGAGGACAGGAGAAGCTACCTCTTCTGGAGAGAGACAGGAAAGAAAGGAGCTCAGGCTGGAAGCAGAAGGAAGATCCTTGTCTAGGTAGACCAGTTAGAGAGGGAGTAGGTGCAACTTGTCTCTTAAAGGGACAGGACAGACCATTACACTGAGGACAGATAGGGAGAAATGAGGAATGGAAGAGATTGAAGGTCATTGGTCTTTTCTCTGCCTCACCTCTGATCATTCAGGTTCTTTTGTTTGTTTTTTGTTTTTTTGAGACAGGTTTTCTCTGTGTAGCTTTGGAGCCTGTCCTGAACTCACTCTGTAGACCAGCCTGGCCTCGAACTCACAGAGATCCGCCTGCCTCTGTCTTCTGAGTGCTGGGATTAAAGGCATGCACCACCACCTGGCTAGATCATCTAGGTTCTTACTGCTATAACTGACTCTTCAGTTTTTATTGATAAAGAATAGTTAGATAAACATTCAAAAAGTTGTTTGGGTGAAGGCTTCACTCCAGCCCATGGCATCCACATACCAAAGAATCTGGAATGTTTGGGTGGGGGCTCCACCCCTGAGAAAGCCCGCCAATGGCAGTTCCACCTTCAGGGGGCATTACTCCGCTCCTCAAAAAGTCCACCATAGATGACTCCACCCAAAGGGTATTAAAAGCCCCCACCTTGTGGTCTCCCCTTGTGATTTCCTCAACTTCCCCTGGGCTCAGAATAAACCTGGATTTATTAATTCGGTTTGATTGGCTTTTTACATCAGTGGTGGTGGATTTCCATTAACCAGGAATTTAAATTTAAAAAAAGTGATCAAGGAGGACACCTGATATAAATTTCTGACCTCTGCAAATGAGAGTGTGTGTGCACACGTGGCTCAATCAGAGAAATATACCCATGGATAAACCTTCTAAGCCTCACCAGCTACCCTACAGCATGGAATCCAGAAACTACCCTAGTTTACTGGAGACCACTGTCACCAACACCATTTTTAAAGAAAGAGCTGAGGTTGGGAGGGGAAGTTTGAGCTGTGTCCCTGTCATAATAAAGGCAGTTATGAAGCTGTGCTGTTTTTCTCAGTTCTTTTGTATAGAAGTAAGGCCACAGGACCCTTGAACCCCTCCTTTGACTGCTTATTGGATACACCCCCACAATTTCAGACCCAGTAACTTCCCTTTGACCACCAGCTATACCTCACACAAAACTAAGCTGTGGGCCATCTGTTATGGTTTAAGCAAAATGCTGCAGATCCCCGAGTGGCAGTAGTGGGCCATGAGACCAAGCTACAGGTCCCCAAAGTGGCGGCAGGCAGCAGACTGTGGGTCCTGAGAGCAGCCAGTCCCAGGTAGAGATGGCGCAGTTCCCCGAGTGGCTGCAGTGGACCACAAAGGGCAGCAAATCACAGGCAGGGAGCCGCGTGGTGGGTGAGAGACCTTGACAGGGTAGTCAGTCCCACGAGGAGAGACGGATGGACACACCACTGAGACCATGATGTAGGTCTCTGAAGGCGGCTGGTCCTGGGCAGGGAGCCTGCAGCAGGCAAGAGACAGATGGATAGGCACACCATGCAGAGTGAGGTTGGATATTTATTTAGTGGGTTATGGAAAGGAAAGGGGAGAAGAGCAGAGAGAGAGAGAGAGAGAGAGAGAGAGAGAGAGAGAGAGGAGAAGAAAAGGACTCGGCTAGAAGCTGAAGATCAGCTTGCCTCGGTGGGGGTGTGGGTGTGTGTGACTTGTTTCTTAAAGGGACAGAACAGGCCACTACACCATCGACACCCAGCCTTCCTGGGGGATCTAGAAGGTACACTGCAGTGTCTATAGGAGGGCCACCACGGAAGGGATATAGGTATAGGGCCCAGAACAACTTGGCCACGCTGCTGCCATGACATTTAATAAAATCCAGCTAAAAGGTAGGCCTGAGTTTCAGTTTTAAGGGCAGGCAGCAATGTCTTCCAGGGAAAGCCATAAACTGATACCACCCGGGGAGGGTCACCATCTAAGGGGAAGTAACTGACATTCCAAACACCCCAATCATTAGAAACATTAGATAAGATCACCAGGTGTCCTTGAGCTCAGCTCAACAGACCTTTTCCCCTTTCACCTGTGCCCTGTGGGCAGATGGAGGGTCCGACCGTGAAACAAAGGCTCTTTGCTTCTGCAGAGGGATTCGGTGTCTGTGGGGGGGGTGGGTCCCCGTGATCTGGGCATAACAATAGGATCATATGTAGGAGTGCAAGCTGGGAAACAGTTGGAAGTAAGGTCTGCTGAACCAGGGCATACAGAGGTACAATCAAGTTAGGAGGAAAGGGCGGAGCTTCCAGGGTACAGGCCTTCAGAGGACCCTGACCCAGGGAACAGGTCAGCTGCAGCCCCTCAGCAGCAGAGCGTACAGCGAAGGTCATCTCCAGATAAGTAGGAGGAGACATTGCAGTGGGAAAACGGGGTGAACAGCAAGGACCCCTCACACATGCCATGAGGCTCTGACCCACTGGGACAAAAGTGGGGAGACCAGTCCTCTCAAGCTGAAAACAGATCTTCCTGGGAGTGTTTGGAACACTGAGAAATTTGCATTCTCAGCTGAATCTGGGTCATCAACTTCCCACCCCCTTGCCCTGCCAATTTTTCAAAGCCAGATGGGACCTAATTACTTTTAATTAGGAAGTTTGGATTGTCACTTTACCCGGGCCAGGAGAGAAATGGGGCCTTGAGAGAAAGCTAAAACTAGCTGTGTCCTTTTTCTTAGACATGAATGCAGAGGATGATGTCCCATGCAGAACAGAGCTCAGAGAAGGAGGTACCAAGCTTGGCAGAGGACACGGTATGACAAGACATATTATTTTATACCTGGGGGATACCAGGCCACTGTCCCAGAATTTTCTCAAAGCCAGCACTTGACTTGGTTATTTCTCTGGGAATCTTCCTCTGGTACTGCAGTAGTCTGTCTGCTTGTAAAATCAGAGACTGACAGACACAGTGACGGATGCTGGGCACTAGCAGAGGTCTAGCCTGGGCTACATAGTGCCCTCAAGGCCAACTTGAGCTATACAGCAAGACCCTTTCTCAAATGATCAAAACAATGTGTTCTAACACACATTTCTCTGTACTTAAAGATTTTCATAGATTTCTTTTTTTTTTTTTTTTCTGAGACAGGATCTCATGAGACCAAAACCAGCCTCGTCAATTAGACTGGACTGGCTGCAGTGAGCCCCAGGGACCCTCCTCCTCTTCTTCCCCAGTGTTAAGATTACAAGTGCTTATCACCCCAGCATTTTTAAAGATTTTATTTATTTTTATTGTGTGTGCATTGGTGTTTACCCTCACGTGTGTTCGTGTGTTGGATCCCCTGGAACTGGAGCTAGACAGTTGTGAGCTGCCCTGTGGTTGATGGGATTGAACTCAGGTCCTCTGTAAGAGCAGTCAGTGCTCTTAACCGCTGAGCCATCTCTCCAGCCCATCACTTCAGCTGTTTACATTGGCACTGGGAATTTAATTCAGGTCCTCATGCTTGTGTGGTGAGCACTGTACTGACTGAGACATCTTCTCAGGCCCCACAGTAGGATTTTTAGACTTGGTTTGAGAAGAAGGTAAAAAGTCTCAGTAGTGGACCAGCAGGAGGGCTCAGCAGGTAACACTTGCTGCACCACTTGGTGACCTGAGTTCAATCTCCGGAATCTTTTTTTAAAAGGCCAGAATAGGCAGTATTTGTCTACAATCTCAGCACTCTTATGGTGAGATGGGAGGTGGAGACAGAATTAAACAGAAGTTCAGAGGCCAGGAAGCAGGTAGCACAGAAGCGAACAAGGGAAAACCAGCCTCAAGAAGGTGGAAGGTAAGGACAGATTTGGAGACTGTTCTGTGACCCCATGCACTATTTGCCATGTACACACAGACATACAGACATATACAGACACACATACAGACACACACACATACACAGACACACATACAGACATATACATACAGACATACACACACATACAGACAGACACACACATACAGACAGACACACATACAGACATACACACACATACAGACACACACATACAGACATACACACACAGATATACATATATATACAGATATATATACACAAATACATAGACACACATGCAGATCTGTACACACACAGGCATACATACAGACATATACACACACAGAGACACAAACATACCACATATACACAGACACACACACCACACACACATCATACACAAAGAAACCATAACTCCCTGTGTGAAATATTACTTTAACTAGGCAAGATGCATTACATTTGTTTATGCTGCATTTGTATAACAGTGTAAAGATGTGTTACTTTGCCTGCCACAGGCACTTGATTGGTCAAATAAAAAGCCGAACAGCCAATATGTAGGCAGTAGAGGGATGGGCGGGGCTGGCAGGCAGAGAGAGTACTAATTTCATTTCTCCATGTCCTGTGACAAGCTTGTATGGTCCCCTCAGCACTGGGTCTTGGAAAAAGAACAACGAGAGAGAGAGAGAGAGAGAGAGAGAGAGAGAGAGAGAGAGAGAGAGAATGAAAACCACATTTAGTTCAATTTGTTCTGCTCATGTGCTCATGGCTGTGGGGCCATCCATTGGAGCATAGTTGACCTACTAGGGGGTCACATGCTGAAAAAAAATTAACCCTCTCTTCCCCAGAAGCCATCAGCTATCCATAGCTCCTCATAGGGGTGGGGCTCTAAAGTCACCCTAAAGTTTTGGTGGGCAACCAAGAGCTATGGCAATAGCCTGCCTTGTTTTGGGGGTCTTCAAGATAACTCTAACTCACCACACAAGGGGTAGGTGGTATCCCGCCCTTCCCACACTTGATAAGGAACTTTTTATTTGACAACCTATGGCTTCTTGGAGAGGTATAATCCTCAATGTAGGGTAATTCCAATTAAGTTCTATTATATTAGTATATATTAATATTATCATATAACTATATGCATATAAATATTTATGTTCATGTATTCAGATAAATATATATTCATAGTCAAACATCCTTAGTGTTAGCTATTCCTCCCCCAACATCTACATGCTCACAAATTCTAGGTTGGAGTGGACTTGGGGACCAGTATGAGTGACCATTTATTAAGCAATCCGATTCTCGCCATCTGCCCCTAGTCCTTCCCCTGCCACGAACGCGCAAAGTTGCATCATGGTTCTCCCTGGCACAAACAGCACACCAAGTGTTCCCTATATTTAGCCAACATGAAGTCACTGCAACCCTACGCCCGCACCATGCAATCGCTGCTTTGTTTTGTGGCTCACATGGCTGATGCCCTGACTGCTTTACATGGTGTATGCCCCCTTGAATTCATTTAAGGGGACCGAAAATCTTGTTACTAGAAAAGCTGTCCTTGGTGAGTAACAGCTGAAATCCTAAGTCAAGGGGACCCTAAAGTGAATCTTTGACATCTTCTGTCACCAGGGAGATTTTGATTATTTTCTTCTTGGGTAAAGGGGGAGATGCCCTGAGAAGGCAGGCTGGGGAAGGACTTACTTCACATAGTCCCCATTCAACCAGGAAAAGCAAGATATCTGTGATTCCCAACTGTGGTTTCAACTCTGTTCTTCCAGCCACCTACAGTGACAGGCAGGCCCAAAAACAGAGGAGCCAGGCAGTTAGACAACCCAACTGGACAAAGGCCAGGGAGCGGGTGCTGCTCACAAGGCTTCAGAAGTGCCACAGCTGTCTTGTCGACTGAGTCTTAGAGTCTACTTTATTTAACTTGAAGAGGTGTGTGTGTGTGTGTGTGTGTGTGTGTGTGTGTGTGTGTCTGCACATGCACGTGTACGTAGGTAGATATTGACAATAACAATAACAATTTGAAGGTTTTTCTTTTTCCCCGGTGTTTTGAGACAGTGTCTCAACTATATAGTTCTGGTCTGGAACTCGCTATGTAAACCAGGCTAACTTCAAACTCACCTCTGCCTCCAGAGCACTGGGGTTAAAGGGGTGCCCCAACCATACCCCGCTGCAATTTGTAGTCTTAAATCCCAACTTTGCTTTTCTTATTTTGGATCACAGGAATGACTGGCTCCTACCAGAGGACCCCATTTTGTCTTGCTTCACCAATAACTTCAGGGGTAGGGTCAATGAAAGAAGGCAGCGCTATGAAAGGTAATTTCATCTGACAAAATTTCTAAGGCCTGAAATTTGATGCAAACTTCAGAGAGGCCTGGTGAAAACATTGTTGGTCCTTCCAGGGCTTTCCTACACCCCGTTCTGTCACTTAGAGACTGTCTTTGCTCTGCTCTTAACAATAATTTATGATACAGATACATTTTTAAGGGATATTGAATTTTATTTAGGAAGACAATCAGAGGTTAGGGGTATTAGCTCAGTAAAGTGTTTCCCTGGCATGCACAGAACCCTTTCCTCAACCCTCTTGTACCTGCATAAAATTGGCTGGTGGTAAGTGCTTGGAATCTCAGTACTTTGGAGGAGGCAGGAGTTCAAGGCCATGCTCAGCTATTTCAAGTCTGAGAGCAGTATTATAAAAAGCAGAGCTTGGGGGCTGGGGAGATGACTCAGTGGTTGAGAGCACTGACTGCTCTTCCAGAGGACCCGGGTTCAATTCTCAGCAACCACAAGGCCGCTCACAACTGTCTGTAATTCTAGTTCCAGGAGACTCAACACCCATGGCAAAACACCAATGTACGTAAAATATAAATAAATAAATATTTAAAAAAAAATAAATAAAAAGCACAGCTTATCCTAAAGGGAATAAGAGAGTTTATATTGGAGCCATGGCCAGGGAACACAGGTTTAGGATTTATCCCAAATTCCATGTTCCATCCTGGGAGCGGAATCATGAAGTTCTATAGTTTTACAGAACAAAGGAAGTAATAAATCAAAGTAAGTTTGCAATACATTGGTGAGTACAGCAGAGAGGCAATCACAGAAAGATGGGTGGTCTAAGATGTTATCTGAGGACATTCTTAGCTTTGGGGTTAGTGGATGCCTGCGAGTCTGCCAAGGTAGTTTCCTTTAGTCATAGAATGCTAGCCATACAGGTGGAGAAGGAATGGCTGTTCAGGGGGCCAAAGCTAGCCCAGGATCAGGTCCTTAGCCTCTGGACCTGCAACATTCCAACCCCCCCCCACCTCCCTGTCCTTCCATCAGTCAATCATTCACTATAGACAAAGCCTCTTTCCAGGAATTTCCATTGATGCCATTGTGGGACTCTTATTTCAAAGATATTTTTCAAATGGCTGTTATACAGCAAAGAGTACATAAGAATGAATAAACAATTCAAAAAACCTTAAACCTGATTTCATTAATTTTGTATTAGTTATATATTAGTACATAAGAATGAACAATTCAGAAAAGCACTGATTTCATTAGTTTCACAAATACAGAATTTAAAAGTTTTAAATGTCCATGTACTTATTCATTCAATATTTATTGAGTGCTCAATGTAAATAATATTAGTGAGCATTTCAGTTGTTATCACTATCTTTCATTAAATAATTATTACTTATCCATTTTTATATTTTACTTTAATTTATAAAGTTTTCATTATATGTACTTACAGAGTACAAGGTAAATTTAAATTTACAAATGCAGTGTGGGATAATTGAGCAAACCACTTAACATATTCTTTACTTCAAATTTTTTGTGCAGAGAACACTTGATATTCTTTAGAAATTATGAATTAATCAGAGTTTTTGTTGTTTTATCAAAATATGTTTTTAGTATCACTTTACTTCAGTTGCAATATAGATTTTCACTAATTTTTTTTTTTAGCCAACGTTAAAAAGAAAATGAAGCTGAGTATGGTGATACACACTTATAATCCCAGCCCTCAGGAGGCAGAGGCAGGCAGAGCTCTGTGAATTGGAGGCCAACCTGGCCTACATAGCAAGGTCTAGGCTAGCCAGGGCTACATAGTAAGACCCTATCTGGAGGAAGAAGAAGGAGGAGGAGAAGGAGGAAGAGAAAGAGGAAGAAAGGAGAAAATGAAAGCAATTAGAAGATCTTATGTGTGCGGCAATCCAAGATGGCCTTGGCTTTAATGGTGCTTCAGTACCCATGTAGGCTACCACTTAAAATGTCATGACCTATGACCTATGGACAATTACCAACACACACTTGATTCCTCCTGTAAAAGAAATAGGTAGGTGAGGTGACCTCACACCTGAATTCGGCCCCTGGGACCCACATGGTAAAAGGTGAGAACCGACTCCTGTGAAAGTTGTCCCTCTGCCCTCCACATGTGTGTCCTGGCATGCACACCACACACACACACACACACACACACACACACACACACACACACACACAACCTACT